ACAGACAGACAGACAGACAGACAGACAGACAGACAGACAGACAGACAAACACAGACAGACAGACAGACAGACAGACAGACAGACAGACAGAGACAGACAGACAGACAGACAGACAGACAGACAGACAGACAGACAGAGACAGACAGACAGACAGACAGACAGACAGACAGACAGACAGACAGACAGACAGACAGATTTTATTCTTAATGACGTTGGCGACAAAAAGACTGAAGTTTAGTCAAATTAAAGCAGGTTTTCTGTCAGAGCATCCTAAATGTTATTTTTACTCAGATAAAACATCTGATGTGGAGTTTGTTGGATTAAAAACTAAAGGAAAATGTCGTCAGACCGACCTGGAGGCTGCTGCTCATTCTGTTTCTGTGACGACGAGACGTTTCGTACCTGAGCAGCGCTCCGAACAGCCGGGTGACGTTCTCCGACGTCTGGATCACGATGACGGGTTTGGACAGAACTGGAGACAAATCCATCTGTGATCAAAACAAACAATTTTATTTTTAAAAGCTGATTAAACCTTCGTCCTCTTCCTGAGGAGAAACAGGTTTTACCTCACTGACTGAGTTTTGGTTGAGAGCCAGGATGATGAGCGCTGAAGCTCCGAGGACCAGAGCACGCTTCATCTGGAGCAGAGAGGAGGAGAAGCGTTAGAAACGGCTGCTGTCGGCAGTGAAGTGTCATAAAGTCAGACACTCTGAGCTGAAACACTTCCTGTTCTTACTCTGCTGACCACCGTGTCGGCGAACGACTCCTGGTTCCCGGTGGAGGCTTTGCTGCCGTCCATCTCCACAGGAACCACACCGATCCAGGTTTCCTGCTCCTTCAGCTCGTCTTCATCGTTGTCTCCGTTCACCTGCGTCTCCTCGTCTCTAACCTGAGGTCAGAAAAGTGCAGTGGTGTTAACCCATTAATCAGCTAAAGGAGAACCTCAGCTACGCTAACGCTAACCAGAATAAATTATTGGAAGCTAATGCTACATGTCTTAGCGATTAGCTTCTAACTAACTTATCATCTGTGGCAAATCAGCCGAACAAAACTAAGTTTAGTGTAGGATAGTAGCTTTATCTAACTGCTGGTTTAACCCTTTCAGAATAAAAGCATTTCTTTGATAGAGTTAGCATTTTTTTAAAATACTGTTTTAAGTTAAACAAAAGAATCTTCTCAACCATATTTTATACGCAGTCAATTTTTTTAGTTAATATTTAAATATTTTTAAAGGGCCTCTGACATCAAATTTTTGTAATAAATATAAATGTATTTTTGGAAAGATAACATCAATAACATACTGTAAAAAAAGATTTCAAGTCGCTGAGATGAACGGTTGTTGAGACATTTGCATGTTCAGTAACAGGAAGTGATGTCAGAGGGGAGTGTCTGAATGTAAACAGAGCGTTGTTACAACCCAGACTGTAGAGAAGAATCTGATGTTTCTTGACATTATTTTAATCACTACAGAGAGATGAAAAAGGGTTAAAGTTCAAATAATGTTTCAATAAACAAAAAACAGGAAGTTTTCTTTCTCAGAGTTCCCCTGTGATGTCACTTCCTGTTTCACTTTAGCTGAGCCAAATTCAAAAGAAAATATACCAATTATGTGACATAACAGGTAAAATCATGTGTATTATGTCAAGTGTCTTCAATATAATTATATTTTATTTGACTTTTTGTATTATTTTTGTAA